TAATTTTTGTATTTTTCTATAGAGACAAGGTTTTGCCATATTGCCCAGGCTGGTCTAAAACTCTTGAGTTCCAGAAATCCGCTCACCTCAGCCTCCCAGACTGCTGGGATTACCAGAATGAGTCACGTCCAGCCTAAATCATTTTTTAAATGAGGATATTTAAAGAAAAATGTAAGTAAATGGTAGTATAGCTGGTATTGACAGGAAGGAGCCACAGAGGTGATGCTGAACGGCTGAGATACAGAAAACAGCTCTACCGTGAAAACCCCAGGCTTCCCTTTCTATCCCACAGATGCCAAGAGCAGGCAGGGGCCACTTTTCCGAGTTTATTTACTCTACTTTGAAGGCTCTCTGGCATGCTAAAAATGGATTCCATCCACCAAGGAAGAACTGACAAGATGACTTACTATTGAAGGGTCTGGCTCAAAGACCACGCCACCTCCGCTGCCTGGGAGATGATCTTCACCAAAAAAACTCACCACTCAAGACATGGACCAAGTTATTCCAGGAAATACTTTCAGACCCAGTTTCCTGTCCGGCGACAGTTTGCAAATGAGGTCTTCTCACCTGACCCCATAACCATATTTAATGGAACCTACAAGATGTGTGTATCCATGCTGACCAATAATTCAAAGCCGTCGTCTGGAACTGGGATAAAGAGTCACTCTCTAAATTCACAAAAGGAGTTAAGGCCGGGAATCCTGGAGGGGTTCCCACTGAGGTCATCTGGAGTTTAGGGGAAATTTTTGGTTTGGGTTTTCTCCTAGTTTTAATTGCTTATAAAAACTCCTTCATGTCAAGTAAAGAACAACAACAAATGTGAAACGTTAACTTCCCCAAGATGTTTATTCAAAAGAAAAAAAAATGGTTCCCAGCAGCCTTTCTGCAGCAGGGAGAGATGAGGACGAGATAATCTCATATGAAAAGGAAAGGAAACTCGCGCTCGTGAGGCCGAGAACAGCTGCAGGAACAGGCCTGCCAGAGGAGCCTCTCTGCTTAGCCACAGTCGGTTCCACGCATTCCAGACCCGCCCCGGAACACCACGGCCAGCTCCACTCCAGTCAGGAGTGATTAAACAGACCACCAAACTCAACTTAGCCACTTCCTTCTATCTGAAAGGCTGCCCTCAGGTTGTCCCAGACACCCCTTCCTTCTCCAGGGGAGCTTTGCCTTTTCACAGGTTCCCATGCAATAGACAGCGGGAGGAAGAGCAGGAGCTCCGACCTGCTCTCACATGCTTCCTCTGGTCACAGCTGATCCTAAGAACAGTGTCAGACCCTTCCTGTGTACACACCAAGAAAAGACCCAAGGCAGAGCAGCAGAATAAGGAAGTCAGAAAGGGCACAACACAAACTAAGGAGAGCGCTCACTTCTGGGAGGGCAAGTGAGCCTCTTTGTATATTATTTTATACACTTTTGACTTTTTTTTTTTTTTTTAATTGAGACAGAGTCTTGCTCCATCACCCAGGTTGGAGTGCAGTGGCATGATCTCGGCTCACTGCAACCTCTGCCTCCCAGATTCAAGCGATTCTCCTGCCTCAGCCTCCCGAGTAGCTGGGACTACAGGAGCCGGCCACCATGCCCAGCTAATTTTTGTATTTTTAGTAGAGATGGGGTTTCACCATGTTGGCCAGGCTGGTCTTGAACTCCTGACCTCAGGTGATCCACCCACCTCGGCCTCCCAAAGTGCTGGGATTACAGGCGTGAGTCACTACACCCAGCCTAGTATTGACTTTTCAATCTCGTAAACATTTTACTTACTAAAAGAATAAAATCAAGTAAAACGTAGGAGAAAAAAGCAAATTCTAAAGTTTAGTATGAACAGAAATGTGAACCTAATTGTAATAATTATTATTACCTATCTATAGAAGAAGGCAAGTAATTCCAGTGACTTTTGGATACAGCTCTCTGACTATTCCTCCTTACTTGGATGTGGTCTAAGGACAAAAACAACTGAAAAGGAAATTTGGATTTGACGTGTTAGGTTTACTGCTGGCTGTGACATGGATGCTGCCAATCTGTAAACTAGGGTTTCACGGTGGGACGAGAGGAACACAAATACAGACTAGGGAAGTCAGGACGGGCCTGGGCTGCTGGCTCTGAATGGTGCCTATCCATATCAACTCAAGATTTTAAAAACATTTAAATTTCTCAGCTCTTTTTTTTTGAAACACAGTTTCACTCTGTTGCCTAAAGCTGTAGTGCAGTGGCACCACCCTGGCTCACTACAACCTCCGCCTCCTGGGTTCAAGTGATTCTTGTGGCTCGGCTTCCCAAGTAGCTGAGATTACAAGCACCAGACACCATGCCTGGCTAACTTCTGTATTATTAGTAGAGAGGGGTTTCATCATGTTGGTCAGGCTGGTCTCAAACTCCTGACCTCCAGTGATCCACCCACCTCGGCCTCCCACAGTGCCAGGATTACAGGTGTGAGCCACCATGCCATCCTGTTCTCTGCTCTACTGAAAGTGCCTATGAGCAGTGAGATGCCCAGATCCTGGTTTCTCAACATTATCCCTTCACCAAAAGGAAGGAGGTTTTCTCAGAACATCCCAGTGAGTGCCAAACAAGCGAGTGCTTGCGGGATGCCAGGAACATGGCAAGAGACTCAAGAGCCATCTAGAAAACACTCTCATTTACCAAATCTGGGGTAGAGTATTTAAAAAATAATGAAATCAATACGCTACAGCAATAGAATTTTTTTTAAACACATGCGTCTGAAATGACACTAAAAAAAACTGAGTGGGGGAACACGAGGCTCTTTTTTAATTGAGACAGAGTCTTGCCCTGTTGCCCAGGCTGGAGTGCAGTGGTGTGATCTCAGCTCACCGCAACCTCCACCTTCTAGGCTCAAGCAATCCTCCCACCTCAGCTTCCAGAGTAGCTGGGATAACAGGAGTACACCACCATCCTTGGCTAATGTTTTGTATATTTGGTGGAGATGGGGTTTCATCTTGTTTCCAAGGCTGGTCTTGAACTCCTGAGCTCAAGCGATCCACCTGCGTCAGCCTCCCAAAGTGCTGGGATTACAGGTGTGAGCCACTGTGCCCAGCCAATGAGGGGCTCTTTATAAAGGAATGTGAGGTAATAAATGTAGAAGCAGTGACAATTTAAAGACCAGCATTATTCAATAATCAATGTAAAAACAGATTCAGGAGGCCAGGCATGGTGGCTCACACCTGTAATCCCAGTGCTTTGGGAGGGTGGGGAGGGAGGATCCTATGAGACCAGGAATTCAAGATCAGCTCCAACAACATATAAGACCCCACCTCAAAAACATACAAATAAAAATAAAACTTAGCCGGGTGTGGTGTAGTCCCAGCTACTCAGGAGGTTGAGAAGGGAAGACCACTAGAGTCCAGGAGTTAGAGGCTGTGGTGAGCTATGATTGTGCCACGGCACCCCAGCCTGGGTGATAGAGTGAAACCCTGTCTTTTAAAAAAACAAACAAGGCTGGGCGCTGTGGCTTGCGCTTGTAATCCCAGCTCTTAGGGAGGCAGAGGCGGGAGAATAGCTTGAGCCCAGGAGTTCAAGACCTGCCTGGGCAATATAGCAAGACCCTGTTCTCCATAAAAAGGCGGGGAGGGGACAAAAACAGTAAACAAAACAGATAAAAGAATCATCACATATGAGTGGCTGTGAAAGCCACTGGGTAACAAGTTACTGGGAAGAGAACATCTCTACAGTGCTCAAGTATCAGACCACTCATTTTCAAAGGGGAAAATACCTTTACAAAGTAGAGCAATCTGGCAGACGTGATCTCAGAGACATTTAGCCTCAGCATGGCCAGTGCCGGGACGGGACTATCATGTGGCTCCTGGTAAGAACTGATAGAGCTTGCGGCCTGGATCTGATCACGAGGGAACCACCTGACAAATTCAGACTGTGGAGAATTCTGCAAAGCACCTGTGCTCTTCATGTAGTGATGCTCAGTTTCTTGGGTATGATATGGGTACTGCTGTTAGGTAGGGAACGTCCTTGTTTTTTAGGAGAGAATGAAGTGTTTAGGATGAAATATGATATACATAATATCTGTTTTCTTTATTTTATTTTATTTTTTTTGAGATGGAGTCTCGCTCTTTCGCCCAGGCTGTAGTACAGTGGCTCAGTCTCAGCTCACTGCAATCTCCGCCTCCTGGGTTCAAGCAATTCTCCTGCCTCAGCCTCCAGAGTAGCTGGGACTACAGGCGTGCACCACCATGCCTAGCTATTTATTTTTTATTTTTTTTAGACAGGGTTTCACCATGTTGGTCAGGCTGGTCTTGAACTCCAAACCTCAGGTGATCCGCCAGCCTTGGCCTCCAAAGTGCTTGGATTACACACGTGAGCCACCACACCCGGCCTTTTTGTATTTTTATTAGAGACGGTGTTTCACCATGTTGGCCAGGATGGTCTTGATCTCCTGACCTTGTGATCCACTCACCTCAGCCTCCAAAAGTGCTGGGATCACAGGCGTGAGCCACCACACCTGGCCTCTATTTTCAAACATAGTTACCCCACAGTGTACTCAGGGGATTGGTTCCAGGACCCCATGTGTTGGAAATCTGCATACACCTCAGTCCTACAGTCAGCTCTGTAGAACCTGAGTGCAGGAAGAATCAGCCCTCTGCATGAATGCGCTTCACATCCTGTGAGTACTGTTTTGGGTTGTGTTTTGAGAATCTCACTGTGTTGCTCAGGCTGGAGTGCAGCGGTCCAGTCACATCTCACGGCTGCTTCGACCCCAGGGTTTAAGCAGTCCTCCTGACTCAGCCTCCTGAGGAGCAGGGATCACAGGTGTGTGCCTCCATACCCAGCTAATTTTTCATATTAGAGTTGGGGGTCTCTCTATGCTGTCCATGCTGGTCTTGATCTCCCGGGCTGATGTGACCCTCCTGCCTCAGCCTCCCAATGTGCTGGGATTACAGGCATGAGCCACTGCACCCAGCTGACACTGTATTTTTGATTCACCTTTGGTTGAAGAAAGTCTGCGTGCAAGTGGACGCGGCAATTCAGGCCCATGTCATTCAGGGGTCAACTGTCGTTCAGGGAAAAAATATATCCACTCCTCACACACAGGTAGAGGCTTACAAAAGGTTCACACAGTGTGTTCCCAGATCAGCAGCAGCAATAGCTGGGAACTGAATGTGGCAACATGGTCGGTCACCATAGCTCAGCTGAGGGGGTGGGTACACGATAGTCACCACTGCTCAGCTGAGGGGGCAGGTACAGGATAGACAGTCACTGTGACATCGTCACCATTGCTCAGCTGAGGAGGCAGGCACAAGCTTGGAATTCACTGTGACATGTTCACCACTGCTCAGCTGAGGGGGCAGGTACATGACAGTCACTGTGACATGTTCACCATTGCTCAGCTGAGGGGGCGGGTACATGACAGTCACTGTGACATGTTCACCATTGCTCAGCTGAGGGGGCGGGTACAGGATGGACATTCATTGTACTTGTCTTCCACTTTTCTGTAGGTCTGACATTTCCCAATATAAAAAGTTGGGTGTAGGGAGAGTAAGTCTTAATCCTTTTCCTTCTCAGGGAATCAAAACCATGGTTGTTCAAAGTGTTGATTCTTAAATGTGCCCAAGTGTGGTGAGTGCTAGCTTAGACCTATCCATGTTCCCCAGTTCTGTGTCCCATGGGATAAGACCCCAAGCACAATGGTATCAGGTCAGGAGGGTGGGCTGTAGGCAAAGAAACAGAACCGAGACACAGAGAGGGCTCTGCCCATTCGCATGGCTGCCTTGGTAGTACAGGCTGTTTCTCCCATGAGGCACCTGAGGCTTTGGAGGAACCTGCCTTGCATTTCCCTCCCTCTCCAGATCATTCTCTGCTCTAACATGTAAGACAACTTTTGACCTGACTTCCACAACGAGATCCTTTCCAACCCGATTATAACAGAAACTGTAACACCCCAACACTCACTCAGGCTCTTCTAATTAAGGGACCTCGTGAAGAAACGTGTTTGCCATCCACGGGGCAGAGGAGACAGCACAGTTAAGGATGCTGCTGCGAATCTCTTGATAACAGAGGCAACCCAGGAGGTGTTTGGTCCATCTGCTGCCCAGGGAAGGGCCAGGTACCCCTAGGCCTTCTCTCTCATATAGTGCTGATGGAAACATAAAGAACCGGCCAGGCGTGGTGGCTCACACCTGTCATCCCAGCACTTTGGGAGGCCGAAGCAGACAGATCACCGTCTCTACTAAACTCCTGAGGTCAGGAGTTTGAGACCTGCCTAGCCAACATTGTGAAATGCTGTCTCTACTGAAAATACAAAAATTAGCCGGGCGTGGTGATGGGCACCTATAATCCCAGCTACTCAGGAGGCTAAGGCAGGAGAATCACTTAAACCAGGGAGGACGAGGTTGCAGTGAGCTGAGATCGTGCCACGGCACTCCAGACTGGGTGACAGAGCAAGACTCTGACTGAAAAAATACAAAATAAATAAACAAATAGAAAAAATAAAGAATCTAGAAATTAAAGGATGGATTCTGGCATTTTACCTCCTGCTTCAGTCTGCCCTGGCAGTCAGGCTCCGGATCTCAGAGCTGGAACGAAACCTGGTTTTATGTAAAATCAGGAGATGGGACTAAACAGATTGTCTTGTCTACATGTATTGAGTCCAGGAGGAAAGCACCATTCCCAGAAGCCGTCTTTCCTGCCCAACGTCTTACCTGTCTCCTCTCCCTGTGCTGCCTTCCAGCAGCAACACACAGCTGACATTCTCTGTATCAAGAGCAGCATTTTCTGGGCAAGGGAAACTATTGGTATTTTAGGCTGGCTGTCAAAAGCTGGAGTTAATACATTTTCTTTTTTTTTTTTTTGAGAGGGAGATTCGCTCTTGTTGCCCAGGCTGGAGTACAGTGGCCTGATCTCAGCTCACCGTAATCTCTGCCTCCCAGGTTCAAGTGATTCTCCTGCCTCAGCCTCCTGAGTAGCTGGGATTATAGGCATGCACCACCACGCCTGGCTAATTTTGTATTTTTAGTAGAGATGGGATTTCTCCATGTTGGTCAGGCTGGTCTCAAACTCCCAACCTCAGGTGATCCACACGCCTCGGCCTCCCAAAGTGCTGGGGTTACAGGCGTGAGCCATGCGCCCGGCCGAGTCACACATTTTCTATAAAGCAACGACATTCTCTGTCCTCCAAGAAGGACCCTGGCAACGTCTATCAAAGTTAATAAGGTATGTCTTCTTTGGTTGATTCCAATTCACAGATACGCATGCGTGAAGTGTGCAAAGCTGTATCACAACCACGTTCATCATAGAGTTATTTATAACAGCCAAAGGTAAAGGAAGGGGTGAAATACCCATGTATCGAGCAGTGGGCAAGTAAATTATGCTCTAGACATTAAATAGAATACAATTCTGTTATTATGACTAAAGCAGATCAGCCTATGCCAACAGGAAAAGGTTGACAAGATGTTAGCTTCTTTTTAAATCAAAGGTTTCTTTTGTTAAGAGGACAGAGAATACCTATCACATACACGTATCCATACAGGATACTTCAGAAGGATGTATATGATAAACTTAAGGCTGGGCACGGTGGCTCACGCCTGTAATCCCAGCACTTAGAGGCCAAGGCAGGAAGCTCACCTGTGGTCAGGAGTTCAAGATCAGCCTGGCCAACATGGTGAAACGCCGTCTCTACAAAAATTACAAAAGTTGGTGGAGGGCACCTGTAGTCCCAGCAACTCAGGAGGCTCAGGCAGGAGAACCCTTGGACCCAAGAGGCAGAGGTTGCAGGGAGCTGAGATTGCACCACTGCACTCCAGCCCAGGCAGCAGAGACCCTGTCTCAATAAATACATAAATGAAACTTAAGAGCGATTATAGCTGAGGGGTTATACCTCTGTCATATCCTTCAGTGCCACGTGAATTTTTTAAGTACGTGCGTGGAGTTCTGCTTTTATAATGAAACAAAAGGTCCCGCAGCCTCTGACGCTGTTCAGTTTCGGCCTAACCCTGTCAGGCTAAGGCTTTTCAACTGAATCAGCAATCCAGCTTCTGGATGTAAACTCATCGGTTTGCTATCTGAAAATCCATATTCTTAGTGAAACAAATGGTTTGCGCATGGGTCAGGGCAGGGCCAACATTCAAATACTGCAAACCCTCAGCTGGTGCCTGCGTCGGGCTGGAGTCGGAACATGTGAGTGGAAACATTTCCCAGGGAAGAAGACAGATGCCAGCTTTGTCAGTTAGTTCTCCAGGTTCTCCAGGGAATTCTTTCCAGTCCCTTGAGGTTATGCTCAGAATAGGGCTTGCCCAGCTCCCAAAATAAGCTCTGCCACTGTGGAAGGAAAAGCTCAGCATTGCACAAAATCTTGACAGACTTTTTACTCCCTCCACCCCTCCACAGTCCATGTAGCTAAATGACATGAAGGGTTTTTTTCTCAAAGCCTGGGAGAATAGTAGTTTGGCCCTCTGAAGAATCCCAAACTTGTGGTTAATAAGGGAAAAATAGACAGTTTAACACAGGGGAGATTGAAAAGTCAAAGAGGCCAGGCGGGGTGTGGTTCACGCCTGTCATCTCAACACTTTGGGAGGCTGAGGCAGGTGGATCACCTGAGGTCAGGAGTTTAAGGCCAGCCTGGCCAACATGGTGAGACCCCATCTCTATTAAAAATACAAAAATTAGCTGGGCGTGGTGGTGGGTACCTGCAATCCCAGCTACTTGGGAGGCTGAGGCTACTGGGAGACTCCATCCCCCTCAAAAAAAGTCTAAACAATTTGAACCAAAATCCCTTCTCATAGAGGAGAGTACAAAAAGAAAAAAAAAAGTCTAAACAAACGTCTTAGCAGGCAATGACTCACCAAGGGCGTGCAGAAGCTGTTGAAATGGAAGTGGGGTCGTGTGTGGTTCTGCCTTGCTCTCATTAATGACCTGCAGGGTGACAGAAATGTAACCTGTTCCGGGGACACCGTGGGGACATGTGCTGCCCTCCAGTAGCGACTGTGCAGCTTCTAATGCTTCATCTCCTGGCTGGACACCTGCAACTGCTCCAGACCCACCTCCGTCCATCCCTGAGGCCACCTCCCTGGAAACTACCCCTGGAATTCACCTCTCCTCCGACCTCGGCACGTGTGATGCCCTCTATCCGACCCACCCTTCCCAGCAATGTTCACCTGACTCTGACAAGAATCACCAGAAAATCTCCCTGACCTCATCTCCCTGGAACTGTCATCCAGCCTGCAGGGGGAAGGAGCTCCTCCTGGGCTCTCACTAGGTGCAAAAACCACCTTTCCTGCATCATGGCCACACCAGTGATGGCGCAGACCTGGGCCGCATCCGCCATCCACCCTGGGTCTGCAGGAGGAGAAAATGAGCAGAGAAAGGAAAAAGTTCAGGATGCACAGAAAGGACTCAGAAATCACTGTGGCCAGGGAATGGCACGGAAAACATGGAGGCTGAGTTGCTGGAGCTGCCCAGCGCCCGGGGGGAAAGGTCTCCTGGGAAAGGTCTCCCAGGCCTCCTATCACTGCAGATGCAAGGCTGGGCTGGGGTGGATTCTCCACAAGTCTCCTGCTTTTCTTAAGTCCGACCCTCCACACCAATGAACCTCAAGACGAGGGTGAACCCCAATGAACAGACAGTCCTTCCTCATCTCACATCCTGTCTCCTGTTTGTTAACTTCCCAGCACAGATCTGTTTCTCTGTAAATGGCAGGGAGCCCCATGCACCCTGGGTCACATCGAAGGCCAGAACGCCTGAAGAGGCTGCTCCAGCAGCTCCTGACACCACTGAGAGCCACAGCTTCTGCCTTACCAGGCGCCAGCTCGCGCTCTGATCAGGGAGCTCTGGAAGCAGCTTTAGGTTCCAGGGGGCTGCCTGATGTGTCTGTGCCCATCAACAGGGACAGGAACCTATGCAGATGATGACGGAAGCTCTCTCACATTTCTGAGCTGCAAACAGGACCATTTCCTCCAGACCTTTTGGCAAAAGCTCCCGTGTCCCTGTTCACATCCACATACTCTGAGTATTATTTCTACAGCATTTAGACTTAATACTTCAGAAAGATACTGTAAGAATCACTGGCACATGTAGGTTTCAGTGAAAACACTTGGGGAGCCCTCCCAGCAAGGGAAAGATGCCTGGTGACAGAACCCAGTTCCATAAGTCACCCAGAGCAGCGAGTGAAAAGGGAAGGGGTGTGATCCGTCGGGAACAGCTCCTCATTGCTCTGCTCTTTCACTCCCTCTACTCGTCCATATTCCATGGACAGTCCTCCCTCCGGGCCTCTGGGAGTGGAGTGTTACTGACACGGAGCAGGATGCTGGTGACAATCTACCACACGCAGCACAGCTCCTCCCACCGCAAAGAATCACCTGGCTTGGAACATCAGCAGTGCCGTGAAACCACACAGCAGGCCACCCCTGGGACTACCCCGGCTTCTGTCTGGCTCCCGATCACTCTCAGACCCCAATTCTCCAGCACGGAAAGACAGGCAGTGGATTACAGGAGAAAGGGAAAGTTACCCAGCAAAGCTCTGGCTCTGTGTGTGTCACTAGCGGGGAAAGCACCTTGGATTTGCTGCGGGACTCGGGTTTCCGAGAAGGCCTGAACAGTCTCACTGTTACTACACCATCTGAGTGAGGAGGCCTAACAAATCATCAGGGGACGTGGGGGCCACGTGGAATGAAAAATCCTGGCTGAATTCAGTGGCTCATGCCTGTAATCCCAGAACTTTGGGAGGCCAAGGAGGGAGGACTGCTTGAGTCCAGGAGTTTGAGACCAGCCTGGACAATACAGTGAGACCTGGTCTCTACCAAAAAACGCAAATAATTAGCCAGGTGTGTTGACGCATGCCTGTAGTCCCAGCTACCTGAGAGGCCGGGTGGGGACATGGCTTGAGCCTGGATGGCAGGTGCAGATGATGCTGCTGAACCAAGTCAAGCCCGTGCAACAGAGAAACTGTGTCTGGGAAACAAATCTCATCCCCGCCATCCCCACCCCACCCGCCTTCCTTCCTGAGCAAATGGTTTGGAATCTCTCACACTTCCGGAGCCATTTGCTTTTATTTTAAGCATGGTAGTCTGCACAGCTCTAAGCTGAAGCCACATTTGCAGCCACCAAGAACTAAAAGGGCACACATAGGACCTCCCAGGCATCCCACAGCTCTGGTTTAGACACCGGTCTACGTGATCGCCTCAGTGCTGAGGTCAATCAATTACCAATATCACTCAGAGTGCAGTTAGTATATGCTCTGTTTTCCAATGGTCAGTCACAGCATATGCATCTGCTTTTTTTTGTTTTGTTTTGTTTTGAGATGGAGTCTCCCTCTGTTGACTAGGCTGGAGTGCAGTGGCGGGATCTCTGTTCAATGCAACCTGTGCCTCCTGCATTCAAGTGATTCTCCCGCCTCAGCCTCCCAAGTAGCTGGGATCACAGGTACCTGCCACCACACCCAGCTAACTTTTGTATTTTTAGTAGAGATGGGGTTTCACCAGGTTGACCAAGCTGGTCTCAAACTCCTGACCTCACGTGATCCACCCGCCTCGGCCTCCCAAAGTGCTGGGATTACAGGTGTGAGCCACTGCGCTGGGCTGCATTTGCTCCCAGTAAGTTTCCCTGAATGGAGAACGCTGATGTGACGCTAATTGGAAGTGACATGTTTTATCCAGCCCGGATCCAGCTGCACTCTGTTACTGATGAACACTTATTAGCTGCTCCCAAGCTTGTAAAACGCTTTTGTGAACATATCATGCAGCGTCTACGGCGCTATCTGCTTTATTTCCTGGGAAACTTGGGGGTGAGGGATTGGGGGAGGAATTATCAAAATTTGGACAAGCCCACAGAAGTGTGTCATGCATGGAATTTCATACACCATGTGTGCTGTGGCAAAAATAAAAATAAAAAAGTCGAGGGCTGTGGTCCTAAAACAGGATGAGGAAGAAACTTGAAGACACAAATGCAAGAAGCAGGGACAGTGGGGAGTCCTCGCCACGGCCTGCCTTTCCCAAGCTGTCAAGTGCTCAGCAGCCAGGATGCTCCACAGTTCATTCAAAGACAAGGAGAGAGAGAGAGAGAGACAGAGACAGAGACAGAGAGACAGAGAGAAAGAGAGAGACAGAGAGACAGACAGAGACCGAGAGAGACAGAGACACAGAGAGACAGAGACAGGTACAGAGACAGAGACAGAGAGAGAGACAGATACAGATACAGAGAGACAGAGACAGAGACAGAGAGTGTAGGGGGGGAAACGCCAGCCTGCGATGCTTAATCTTTTTTTTTTTTTTTTTTTTATTTAGGTGTACAATATAGAATCTTGGAATGCTTCAGATGACTATCTGCCTATCAAATCTTTTTTTTTTTTTTTTGGGAAAAAGAGAAAAAGAAGGGGAAAAAAAGAAAAAGAGGGAAAAAGGAATATTACTTCATTCCTAAAATGGGTTTCAATAATGGCCGATCAATATTTTGAGTATTTAAAGTGGTTAATGCATATTTTATGTCTTTAAAATGGAGACCTCTATTGTGTTTATTTGTTCTGGCTCTGAGTTCAAATCCTGGATATCGTTATCAATTTGTTGTCTCGTTGAATCTAAATCTATGTGTCTTATGTATCTGCGTGTTAAGATCTCTTATTGTTACATTAATCCTTTTACCCTTGTATCCTTATAGCTTTGAAATCTATTTTGTCAAATGTGAAAATTGCAACTCCTGCTTTTTATTTATTTATTTTTGCTCTCCATTTGGTTGGTACGTTTTTTTTTTTTCCAACCCTTTATTTTGAGTCTATGTATATCTTTGAATATACCGTTGGATTTTGTCTGTATCTTTTGATTGGGAGATTTGGTTGATTTAACTTTAGGGTTGCTGCCATTTGATATTAACTGGCTATTTTGTCTTTTTGTTGATAAAAATTCTTCTTTATGTTAACGCTCTTTACTTTTTGGTGTATTTTTAGAAAGGATCATACTGGTTGTTCCTTTCTGTGTATAATGCTTCTTTTAGAAGTTCTTGTAAAGCAGGCCTGGTGGTAATAAAATCTCTGAGTACTTGCTTGTTCCTAAAAGATTTTATTTTTCCTTCAAATGTAAAGCTTAAATTGGCAGGATATGAAATTCTGGGCTGAAAGTTCTGTTGATTAAGTATATTGAATATTGGCCCCCACTCTCTTCTAGCTTGTAGGGTTTCCGTTGAGAGATCTGCTGTAAGCCTAATAGGCTTACCTTTATGGGTAACTTGATCTTTCTCTCTGGCTGCCCTTAATATTTTCTCCTTCGTTTCGATCTTGGTGAATCTAACGATTATGTGCCTTGGGGTTGGTCTTCTTGAGGAATATCTTTGTGGTGTTCTCTGTATTGCCTGGGGTTGAATAGTGTCCTGCTTTGCTAAATTAGGAAAATTTTCCTGGATAATGTCCTGGAGAGTATTTTCCAGCTTGACTTCATTCTCTCCGTCACATTCAGGTACACCAATCAAGCGTATATTAGGTCTTTTCACGTAGTCCCATATTTCTTGGAGACTTTGCTCATTCCTTTTTATCCTTTTTTCTCTATTCTTGTCTTGTCGTTTTGTTTCATTAAGTTGGTCTTCGACCTCTAATACCCTTTCTTCTGCTTGATCCATTCGGCTGTTTAAGCTTGTACATATTTCACTAAGTTCTCGTGTTGTATTTTTCAACTCCATAAGTTCATTTGTATTCCTCTCTATATTGTCTATTCTTTTCAACATTTCATCGAACCTTTTTTCCAAGTTCTTAGTTTCTTTACATTGGGTTAGAACAAGTTCCTTTAACTCCCAGAAGTTTCTTATCATCCACCTTTTAAAGCCTACTTCAGATAATGGAACACAGTCCTTTTCCATCAGGGCTTGTTCTGTTACTGATGAGTCCTTTTCCATCAGGGCTTGTTCGGTTGCTGATGAGTCCTTTTCCATCAGGGCTTGTTCCGTTGCTGATGGGTTCTGATTTTGAGTATACTCGGCCTTCTTAGGCTGTTTTTTTCCCTTCATTGTGGATGACCCGCCTTTCTAATTAGTTTTCTGAGTCGACGTCCGACTTATTGATTCCCAGTGCTGGGATCCGAGCCACCCACTGTGGCAGCCTAAATAGCAGCAGTAAGACTGATGGTGCTCTTCTGCCCGGGAATCTCTGGTCTGGCTTCCCTCTTGAGTCCGCAACAAGCGGCTCTGACTTCCCGGAGCTCCAAACTCTGGTCAGTAGGGGAAGCGGTCCCGTTGGCTCTGCGTGAAGAGCTGCTGCACCGAGACGCCGGCAAAACCACTGCAGCGGCCACAAGAGTCGCGCTGGCGACCCGTGGGGCTCCTCCACTGGGAGTCGGCTAATCGGTGAGTGACGAAAATTCGTCTAATGATGTGGCGTCGTCTCGTTCTCTGAGCTTTCACTGGGAGCTACAATCCTGAGCTGTTAGTGGTCGGCCATCTTGGATAGATCTGTCTCGCGATGCTTAATCTTATGTGTCAACATGACTGAGCTAGAGGAAGCCCTGATATTTGACTAAACATGGTTCTGAGTGTGTCTGTGACTGAGTTTCTGGGTGAGATCAACATTTTTTCTTTTTGAGACAGAGTCTCACTCTGTTGCCCAGGCTGGAGTGCAGTGGCGCCATCTCGGCTAACTGCAACCTCCACCTCCTGGGCTCAAGCGAGTCTCCCGCCTCAGCCTCCTGAGTAGCTGGGATTACAAGTACCCACCACCATGCCTGGCTAATTTTTGTATTTTTAGCAGAGACAAGGTTTCGCCATGTTGGCCAGGCTGGTCTTGAACCCCTGATCTCAGGTGATTCGTCCACCTTGGCCTCCAAGACCGTGTTGGGATTACAGGCATGAGCTACCACAACCAGCTGAGATCAGCATTTGAATCAGCAGACTTAGAGTATAAAGCAGACTGCTCTCCCCAGTGTGGGTGGGCCTCACCCAACCCACTGAAGTCTAAATAGAAAAAGCTGCGGAGTACAGGAGAATTCTCTCTGCCTGACTGTCTTCCAGCTGGGACATTGTCTTCTTCTGCCTTCAGACTTGGCGGGAACTCACACCATCCGTTTTCCTGGGTCTCCAGCTTGCCAACTGAAGCTCTTGAGGTTTCTCAGCTTCTATAACCATGTGTGTCAATACTTTATAAGAGTCTCTTTTGGCTAGGCAAGGTGGCTCACGCCTGTAATCCCAGCACTTTGGGAGGCCAAGGCAGGCAGATCACCTGAGGTCGGGAGTTCAAGACTAGCTTGACCAACGTGAAGAAACCCCGCGCGTCTACTAAAAATACAAAATTAGCTGGGCCTGGTGGCGCATACCTGTAATCCCAGCTACCCAGGAGGCTGAGGTTGCGGTGAGCTGAAATTGCACCCCTGTACTCCAGCCTGGGCAACAGGAGCGAAACTCCATCTCAAAAAAAAAAAAAAATGTAGTGGAACGAAAGACAAACATGACTAGAGAAAAGAACAACTTCAAAGATACAACAAGAGTGCAATTAATTTATTACTGCTGGGGCACTTTGTGTCAGCCACCACATTAAACTGCTTCATATATACAACCTTTTTTTTTGAGACACAGTCTCACTCTGTTGCCCAGGCTGGAGTGCAGTGGCACAATCTCAGCTCACTGTAACCTCCGCCTCCTGGGTTCAAGTGCTTCTTCCGCCTCAGCCTCCCGAGTAGCTGGGATTACAGATGCCCACCACCCAATGGACTACTTTACATATTTTTACTAGAGATAGGGTTTTACCGTATTGGCCAGGCTGATCTCAAACTCCTGGCCTCCGGTGATCTGCCCGCCTCGGCCTCTGACAGTGCTGGGATGACAGGCGTGAGCCACCCTGCCCGGCACTATCCTACCCTTTTAACACTCACAACACAATCTTCTATCCTATTACCATCAACCCCACTCGACAGATCAGCAAACAGACTCATAAAGATAAGTCAGTCCCTGAAGGGTACGTAGTCAAATCACTGAATCATAAATGGCAGAGTGCGGCTTCAAACCTGGGTCTCTTATCTCAAAAGCTTTTTTTTTTGAGACAGAGTCTCGCTCTATCGCCAGGCTAGAGTGCAGTGGCGCAATCCCAGCTCACTGCAACTTCCATTTTCTGGTTTCAAGCAATTCTCCTGCCTCAGCCTCCTGAGTAGCTGGGACAACAGGTACGCACCACCATGCCCGGTTAATTTTTTGTACTTTTAGTAGAGACAGAGTTTCACCACGTTGGCCAGGACGGTCTCGATCTCTTGACCTTGTGATCTGTCCACCTCTGCCTCCCACAGTGCTGGGATTACAGATGTGAGCCACCACGCCTGTTCCCAATTTTTGTAGTTTTTTAATAGAGATGGGGTTTCACCATGTTGGCGAGGCTGGTCTCAATCTCCTGACCTCAGGTGATCCGCCTGCCTCAGCCTCCCAAAGTACGGGGATTACAGGCATGAGCCACCACACCTGGCCATCTCAAAAGTCTTAATTTCCCTCACTACACACTTAAGAGCTGAAGATCTAATCAGACTAGTGTGAAATGAAATAGGGATTTTTCATTGTTTTTGTTTTAAGGTCAGATTTGCTCTGTTGCCCAGGCTGGAGTGCCTGGTATAATCATAGCTCACTGCAACCTCCAACTCCCTGGGAACAAGTGATCCTCCCACCTCAGCCTCCCAAGTAGCTGGGACTACAGGCACATGTGAGCACATCTGGCTAATTTTTCTAAAAAAATGTTTTGTAGAGGCCAGTCTCATTTTGTTGCTCAGGCTGGTCTCAAACTCCTGGCTTCAAGCTATCTTCCTGCCCCAGTCTCCCAAAGTGCTAGGATTATGGGTATTAGCCACTGCACCTAGCACTGAAACAGTTTTTAAGCAGAGTTTTAACGTATGGGAGAAGCACATTTTGGCAAGAGATGGTAGGAGGGCAATGGACTGGCGCGAACGTAAAATGGTTCCATGTCCTCAGAAATGCCTTTGGTGGTTCTCACAAAGTTCATCAGAATCACCGTTTGATCCAGCAATTCCATTTCCAAGTCTATACTCAAAAGAATAAAAAACAAATACTCAAGAAAAACATGTGCACACACGTTCACAGCAGCGCTATTCATAGGAGGCAAAAGAGAGACACAATCCAAACGTCCGTCAGCAGCTCAAGAGATGAACAAATCATAGTTTATACATACAATGAAGTCTCATTTAGCAGCCAGGCACGGGGGCTCATGCCTGTCATTCCAGGCCTCCTTTGGGAGGCCGAGGTGGGCAGATCACAAGGTTGGGGGTTCAAGACCAGCTAGCCAACATGGGGAAACTCCGTCTCTATTAAAAATATAAAAATTAGTCAGGTGTGGTGGTGCATGCCTATAGTCCCAGCTACTGGGGAGGCTGAGGCAGGAGAATTGCTTGAACCTGGGAGGCAGGGGTTGCAGTGAGCTGAGGTTGCACCACTGTACTCCTGCCTGGGTGACAGAGCGAGACTCTGTCGCAAAATATATGTATATTACTTAGCCATAAAAAATAATGATGTGTGCTACATCATGAACAAAACTTGAAAGTCCTATGCTAAGTGAAAGAGGCCAGACACAACAAATCACACATTGCTTGATTTCATTCATGTTAAATCCCAAAATACGTAAATCCATAACCACTGAAAGCAGGAAGGGGCTGGATGGGGAGGTGTATCCTAATGGGTTCAGGGTTTCCTTTGAGACAATGAAAATGTTTTGGGGCAAAATAGAATCGGTAGCTGCACAACATGGTGAATGTACGAAATGCCACATCATTCACTATAAAATGGTTAATTTCATGTCATGTGTATTTCACTTCAACTATAAAAACTTCTTTAAAAGAAGGGATTATAAACAACTAAGCCAGCAAATATGAAAGTATCGAAGCAGTAAAAGGAACGAGAACCAGCTGAGCTGTGGGTGAGAAAAGCAGGTGCCCAGGCCCCAGTCTGGCAGCTTACGTCTATCATCTCCCGGCACGCTGGGAGGCCGAGGCAGGTGGATCACTTGAAGCCATGAGTTCAAGACCAGCCTGGGAAACAGATTTCATCTCCACAAAAAATAAAAACATTAGCTTGGTGGTGCACGCCTGTAGTTCCAGCTACTCCAGAGGCAGAGGCGGGAGGAATGCATCAGCCTGGGAGGTGGAGGTTGCAGTGAGCTGAGATCATACCATTGTACTACAGCCTGGGATACAGAATAAGACCCTGTCTCAAAAAGAAAGACAAGAAATTCAGGTGCCTAGCAAAAAAGGCCGGCTCCCGAAGCAAATGTGAAGACACTGAATATCATGCTGTCAAATAAGCTATTCAGGTGGGCAGGATGGCTCACATCTGTAATCCCCAAACTTTGGGAGAATGAGGTGGGTGCATCACGAATGAGGTCAGGAGATCAAGATCATCCTGGCCAATATGGTAAAACCCCATTGCTACTAAAAATACAAAAATTAGCTGGGTGTGGTGGCACATGCCTGTAGTCCCAGCTACTTGGGAGGCTGAGGCAGGAGAATCACTTGAACCCAGGCAGAGGTTGCGGTGAGCCGAGATCAAGCCACTGCACTGCAGCCTGGGTGACAGAGTTAGACTTCGTCTCAAAGAAAAACAGCTATTGAAGTTTCAGGTGGGTGACATAGGGACTTAAGAAAAATGATGCTGATGGAAGTCAGCACAGGTCACAATGAATGGACCCCTAATTCGGTTCCTGCTCACACCTCCCTATTTTGGTCATTTAGCTCACACTAGGAGTCCGTGTCCCTAAGCGTGTTTCATGTAAGTCTCCCCATCAATGATGAAAGCACCTTGACAGCATGAAGTAGGAGTCATGTACCCCAAAATTCTCCCTTAATCCCAGGCATCAATCTCACTGGCCTGGGAATGCCAATAGCACTGACTGACTATTTCTCGCTGATAATCACTTTCGTACCATGCTATGATCTTAATTCCTCATTTATATGGAAAACCCCTTCTGGTCCCCTTTGTGGCACCAACTTCCAGCACATGTAATCAAAAGTCATTTTTGGCCAGGCAGGGTGACTCACACCTGTGATCCCACCACTTTGGGAGGCTGAGGCAGGCGGATCACTTGAGGTAAGGAGTTTGAGACCAGCCTGGTCAACATGGTGAAACCCTGTCTCTACTAAAAATACGAAAAAATAGCCAGGCACACTGGCAGGCTCCTGTAATCCCAGATACTCGGGAGGCTGAGGCAGGAGAATTGCTTGAACCTGGGAGGAGGCTGCAGTGAGCTGAGATCCCGCCATTGCACTACAGCCTGGGTGACAGAGCGAAACTCCATCTCAAAAACAAACAAAAAAACATTAATTCTTAATATACTAAACAAATGTACTAAAGAACTATGTGAACAGCGACTGTTTTTCCCACAGCTGCATTAACCAGCATGTGAAATGCTGTGCTAAATGCTGGGAACAGAAAGACAGTTGATACACGAGCCTTTCCTTTAAGGAAGCCCCAGTCCCGCACAGAAGACAGACACAAACATAAACTATTAGTTTGCAGGAAATACAGGCACAGTAATCCTGGTACATAGAGGAAATCAGTCAAGATGTGTAGAACGATGTCTGGGGCATGCACTCAGTGCTTTATAAAGTACTAGTCGTTTTTACCATCTAACCGTGCTGTGGGTCAGAGCAACAGAAGAGGAAAGAGAGTAGCATCCGAGCTGCTTTGTGAAGAATGAACCTGGTCTCAGCAGGAGTGGGACAGAAGCAAGACAGGAGCGGGACAGGAGCAGGACAGAGGCAGGCAGAGCCAGGACTAGTTTCTCCAGACTGTAAAACAGGCCTTGGAGGCTGCTAGGGAGGGTTCGGCAGCTGTGGAGGAGGCTGGAGCCCCCGGGACTAACAAATAGGGCTCCAATTCATGACGTCCTGGCCACAAACTACTAGAAATGAGAAATGAGGCCAGGCCGGGTGCGGTGGCTCACTCCTGTAATCCCAGCACTCTGGGAGGCCGAGGTGGTTGGATCACCAGGTCAGGAGATCAAGACCAGCCTGGCCACTAGGATGAAACCCCATCTCTACTAAAGATACAACGAATTAGCCGGGTGTGGCGGTGGGCACCTGTAATCCCAGCTCCTCGGAAGGCTGTGGCAGCAGAATTGCTTGAACCGGGGAGGTGGAGGTTGCAGTGAGCCCAGATGGTGCCGCTACACTCCAGCCTGGGCAACAGAGTTAGATGTCGCCTCAAAAAAAAAAAAAAAAAGTAGAACCAGTTAGAAGCTCTAGTATGTGTTTAAAGAACAAATTAGTGAAAGAATGGGTAGACAGCCCAGGTGCAGTGGCTCACGCCTGTAATCCCAGCACTTTGGGAGGCCAAGGAGGGTGGATCACCTGAGGTCGGGAGTTTGAGACCAGACTGGACAACATGGTGAAACCCCATCTCTACTAAAATTACAAAATTAGCCAGGTGTGGTGGCAGGTGCCTGTAATCCCAGCTACTTGCGAGGCTGAGGCAGGAGAATTGCTCGAGCCCAGGAGGTGGAGGCTGCAGTGAGCTGAGATTGCACAACTACACTCCAGCTGGGGGAGGTTGGTGGGGAGCCGGTGGGGTGGGGAGCCAGTTGGGGCGGAGCTGGTGAGGAGGGGAGATGGTAGGGGGGAAGGTGGTAGGGAGGGGAGCCAGTGGGGGTGGGGTGGGGAGGAGAGGTGGTGGGGAGGGAAGGTGGTAGGGAGGAGAGGTGGTGAGGAGGGAAGGTGGTAGGGAGGAGAGTGGTGGGGAGGGAAGGTGGTAGGGAGGAGAGGTGGTGGGGAGGGAAGGTGGTAGGGAGGAAAGGTGGTGAGGAGGGAAGGTGGTAGGGAGGAGGGTGGTGGGGAGGGAAGGTGGTAGGGAGGAGAGGTGGTGAGGAGGGAAGGTGGTAGGGAGGAGAGTGGTGGGGAGGGAAGGTGGTAGGGAAGAGAGGTGGTGAGGAGGGAAGGTGGTAGGGAGGAGAGGTGGTGGTAAGGTAAGGTGGTAGGGAGGGGAGCCGGTGGGGGCACAGACGGTGGTGGGGAGGGGAGCCAGTGTGGGGAGCCGGTGGGGAGGGGAGCCAGTGAGGGGGAGGTGGTGGGGAGGGGATCCAGTGTGGGGGAGGTGGTGGGTAGGGGAGGCAGTCGCCAGTCGCCAGGCAGGAGGGGAGCTGGTAGGGGGGAACCAGTGTGGGAGGAGCAAGTGGAGGAGGAGTGGGGTGGGGGGAAGCTGGTCGGGGGTAGTTGGTGGGGTGAAATTTTCTGCAGGTGTCTCTTTCTAGCCTCCAGCAGGTCACAGCAACAAAAGAAGGCTCAGAAGGAAAGAACATGGCTGAGTACATGCGCGTTTCAAGCCAAAGGCCTCTAGAAACTTCTCTCACAGGTATGGAATATAACCACAATGCCCGCTGTGGTGAAGACACTGCGGGTCCATGAAGAAAGTGACTAAGAAAATGACACAGATCCCAACTCCTTCTGAAAGCAGAACCTCGCAGCGGTTAAGAATGGAAATTCCACTTCATTCCAAGCAAAGCTTCTAATGTATCAAGTTCAAGGGTGAGGTTTCATTAAAGGAATTTAAAATTTGTGAGATCACAGCAATTTTTTTTAAATGATTGTTTTAGTGAAAGAAAAAAAGGCCTTTTTCCTCAGTCAGGGCATCACTCCCAATCCTGCTCTCTGAAAACAGCTCCCAAACACCCAACCTTCAGCAAATCACACCAGGGCGCCAGGGGTGGAGAACTGAGGGAGGTGTCTCCCCATTTCCTCATCTATAAAATAAAAGGATTTAATTAAATAACTTGGATTAACTACCAGGGCTGGGGCTTATGATAAGACTGTGATTAGAGCCACATAAAAGGAGAAAATGTTTTAAGTACTTCTTGTGGCCTGCTTGAGCCTTTCTCAGTAAACTACCAAGTCACACTTTTCCTGGAGAGAGACCCTTGGAAATGACCCATTTCCCCAACAGGCCACCATTCCCCGCCATTCACATGTGGTCCAGTTAAAAAAGCCTGTTTGAACCTAGCCGGGTTTATTTAAATAAAAATATTTAAAAATAAATAAGTTTATTTTTCTGATTAAAGCCAAATAATCAGACTCAAAATAGGCCACAGAAAACCCAGAGTTTTCCAAGTGCCCCTGAGCAGACCGACACACCCGAGGACATCTGCCCAGAGGAAAAAGCAGCAGGCAGGGCTGGAGACCGGTCAGTCAAAGTCCTTACACACATGTAGGTGCAGAGCCTGCTTTTAGCCAAAAGAGTAAGTTAACTCTGAAGGACAGATACTTCCAACCTGAAACCAAGTAGAGCAGTTGGTCTGCTAATAGCACGGACAGAAATGAAGGCCTCCTCTGAGAATCCCACAGCCTGGGCTGGGGCTCCAAGGGGCTGACCAGCTCCGGGGGCTCAAATCTCTGCCAACGTCTTTGTCCCTCTCAATCCACCCATGGCAGGATGCTGAGGCCTGGCCCGAGGAGTGCAAACTCTAAACAAGCAGAAAGCTTTCCCTACTGCAGGCAGGAGCCAAGGGGTCTGAAGGGCGGCTGATCTGATGGGTGTGGAATGCCTTCCTGGAAAAAGACTAAGAATTGGCCTGAAAGGCAAAAGGGTGCCCAAAAGATGAATGGCAGAACCACGATGCTTCTACAAGACAACAAAGTGTGAGAGAGAAAACTCAGGGGGAAAGAAGGCCTCAGGGAAGCTGGGAGGGTGCTTCTCATGACACACAAGTACCTCCTGAAATGAAAAGTCAAACTGGACTTCGTTAAAATGAACAGTGGCTCAGCCTGTCATCCCCGCACTTTGAGAGGCCAAGACATGCGGACTGCTTGAGTCCAGGAGTTCAAGACCAGCCTGGGTAACAGAGCAAAACCCCATCTCTACAAAAAATACACACACAAAAAACTAGGCGGGTGTGGTGGTGCATGTCTGTAGTACCAGTTACTTGTGAGGGACTGAGCCCTGGAGGTCAAGGCAACAGTGAGCTGTGATTGTGCCACTGCACCCCAGCCCAGGCGACAGAGTGAGACCCTGTATCAAAAAAAAAAGAAGAAGAAACAAATAATTCTATTTATGTAACGCTCCAAACATGCACAACTGGAGTGTTCAGAGAAGCACACGTCAACTGAAAAGTATCAAGGGAAGCGAGGAAGGATAACCACGGAAGTTGGGGCGACGGTTCCTCCAATGAAGAGGAAGGCGCTGTGCCCAGGAAGTGCACGCAGTGGATCCGAGGCCTGTCCCAGTTCATTTCTTCCTCAGATGCTACTGCACAGAGTCTGCTGACAATAACACACTCACCTGGACCTGTCTGTTTGGTGCACTTTTCTATGGTATACGTCACACAATATTTTTCAAGAGAAAAAAGGGAACAGGGCTGGGCGCGGAGGCTCACGCCTGTACTTCTAGCACTGTGGGAGGCTAAGGCGGGTGGATCACCTAAGGTTGGGAGTTCTAGACCAGTCTGACCAACATGGAGAGAGAAACCCGTCTCTACTAAATACAAAATTGGCTGGGCGTGGTGGCTCACGCCTATAATCCCAGCACTGTGGGAGGCTGAGGCAGGTGGATCACCTCAGGTAGGGAGTTCAAGACCAGCCTGACCAATATGGTAAAACCCTGTCTCTGCTAAAAATACAAAATTGGCTGGGTGTGGTAGTGCATGACTGTAATCCCAGCTACTTGGGAGGCTGAGGCAGTATAACTGCTTGAACTTGGAAGGTGGAGGTTGTAGTGAGCCAAGATCACACCATTGTACTCCAGCCTGAGCAATGAGGGGGAAACTCTGTCTCAAAATAAAAGGGACAGGGAAGCAGCCAGGAGGACTGACAGAACGTCGCTGTGTACCTCCAAGAACAAAGAACCTGCAGGCGAGTTCAAAGAGCCAGTAAGGACAGAGAAGTAGCGAGCGTGTCTTCAGGCAGGGGTGAGAGAAACTCAGACCAAGGTCTTGCAAAGAAATAAACTGTAAAAAGCAAAGTGTTATGAAGGAATTAGTATTCATTTTTAAGGTGTGATGGTGGCATTTTGGGTAGTGTGTTTTTGAAGAGTCCTTATCTTCTAGAAATACAGACCAAGACACTGACGATGGAAACAGATTTGGGATTTGCTTTGAAATAAACTGAGGAGGCAGCTGAATGCCCGCAGGTGTGGAGGAAGTGTTACGGCTAAGACCCACAGCGGCCGGGTGATGGGCAGTGAGACTCCTTCCAAATCCGAGGTCGCCAATTTATCACTGTTTCCTCCAACTCAGGCAATGAAACAGTCCTTTGAAAAGGCTCTAAAACCGGCTTTTCTACAGCTGGGGAAGAGCTCTACCGCATCTCAAATCAACCTGTCTCCTGAATCAGAGCCTCACACGCCCACCTGAGCTCTGCTCAGCTCCAGTCCCAGCCTAGACCAACGGTCAACACGCCTCCCATGCCATCCTTCAACAACAGAAAGAAATCCTTGTCATAACCAAAGCACCTTCCATCTCACAATTTCCTGACATGAAAATCCCCCCAGTGCTTAGTGCCTCAGGATAGTCAGAAACAAGTGATATTAAAACAAAAAATAATGTATAATATATATACATACAGATAGATAGTAGAGTATCGAAAGCTGATATACTAATATATCTTTAACAAAGAATTCATACCCAGACTATATAAATAACTCTCAGCCGGGCACAGTGGCTCATGCCTGTAATCCCAGCACTTTGGGAGGCTGAGGCAGGCGGATCACAAGGTCAAGAGATCAAGACCATCCTGGCCAATGTGGTGAAACCCTGTCTCCACTAAAAATACAAAAATAAGCTGGGCATGGTGGCACACGCCTGTAATCCCAGCTACTTAGGAGGCTGAGACAGGAGACTTGCTTGAACCCAGGAGGCAGAGGTTGCAGTGAGATGAGACTGAGCCATTTCACTCCAATGGTGACAGAGTGAGACTGTCTCAAAAAAAAAAAAAAAAAGAACTCTTATAAGTCAACACTAAAAATATGAAAAACTCAGTAAAAAATAGGCAACAGATAAGGACAGACACTTCCAGAAAGTAGATACTTGGGCAACCAGGAAGAATATGCAAAGGTGTTCAACATCTTTAATCATCAAGGAAATGCAAATTAAAACTATTTCACACTGGGGGGAAACAGGACTCTCACGCACCGCAGGTGGGAGGTAAATGGTAGCCACACTCCCTGGTTGCTGTTGAGACAGGATCTCACTGTTGCCCAGGCTGGAGTAGGTGCCACTTTGGTTCACTGAGGCCTCCACATTCCCAGGCTCAGGTCATCCTCCTACCTCAAAGTAGCTGGGAATTACAGGCGTGTGTCACCACATCCAGCTAATTTTTAAAAGCTTTTGTAGAGATGGGGTTTTGCCATGTTGCTCAGGCTGCTCTCAAACACCTGGGCTCAAGCAATCTGCCTGCCTTGGCCTCCCAAAGTGCTGGGATTACAGGTGTGAGCCACCATGCCTGGTCAGCACAACTGCTTTGAAGACCTGTTTGGTCTGTCTTACGAAGATAAATGTTCCTTTACCCCATCATCTCCTCAGTAATCTGCCCTCAGTCTTCCGACTTATCAGTATTTACTCAAGATAAAATTGTTTTTAGTCCATAAAAATGTTTGTTTATAACAGCCTTGCCCACCCCAAACTGAAAACAGCTTACACACACATCACTGGAAGAATGGATACATTGTGACAACACGTCCATCCAAGGGAATATGTCTCAGCAATAAGAAGGAACACAGTGATACAACCAAAAACAAGGAGGAACCTCCGATTATGCCAGACACAAAAGGACACGGACTGCATGATTCCATTTCCATGGTTCTTGAACGGGGACTGAGTGGTGGGTGGGAGGGGCGTCACCGGACAGGGTATCGAAAGCTGATATACTAATATCAGACGCAGCGGGGGACTCTGCACAGAGATGGAAAAGTTCTGCATCTTGTTTGGATGGTTGTTTACGTAGGTGTAACAGTTGTTCAAACACAGCGAGCTGGGTACTTAAGAACCCTGAATTTTACTGCATTAAATTAAATCCCCCCCCAAAAAAAAACTCCAGGGAGAAGAAAATAGTTTGTCCTCATCTCATCGAGAGCCAGGTAACTGAGAGTTCCAGAGTGAGCTCAGGGGCCACCTCCTGACCACAGCCACCTTCCGCACATGGCGGCCTCCCCCGACCTTTCTCTGCTATTGCTCCTCATTTCCATGAAGGGACCCAACTGCCCTCTACCCAGGGTCCCAAAGCAGAAACCTTCCACATGCTTCTCTCCACCTCGCTTCTGCTCACTTTCCAGACAGCTCCTGAATGAGGTCTCCACTCTACCTCAATTGGAAGGGTTTCTTTTGTGTTTTGTGTTGTTTTGTTTGAGACGAAGTCTCGTTCTGTCACCCAGGCTGGAGTGCAATGGTGCAATCTCAGCTCACTGTAACCTCCGCCTCCTGGGTTCAAGCGATTCTCCTGCCTCAGCTTCCCAAGTAGCTATGATTATAGGAGCCTGCCACCACACCTGGCTATTTTTTGTATGTTTAGTAGAGACAGCGTTTTGCCATGTTGGCCAGGCTGGTCTTGAACTCCTGATCTCAGGAGATCTGCCCACCTTGGCCTCCCAAAGTGCTGGGATTATGGTCATGAGCCACTGTGCGCCTGGCCTCACATGTGGTTTGGATTCAGGGTCACTATAACTGCAGTTTGGATCCAGGGTCAGTATAACTGTAGTTTGGATCCAGGGTCACTATAACTGGAGTGTGGACCCAAGGTCAGTATATCTGGAGTTTGGACCCAGGGTCAGTATACCTGGAGTCACTATAACTGCCTCCTGTCCATTTCCAGTCTGGCTCCCCTCCAATCTATTCTTACCCAAAAACAACAAGCCTTTGTTTCACATCCTTCTGCTGCCCTGGCTCACCCTGAGGATAAAGGCCAAACTCCTCAGCAAGGCAAGCAAAGGCAGTTGAACCCTCCATGTTCTGGCTGTTACCACTACCCCTGGCACCATGTTCCCAATTCTGTTCCCTTCCCACCTCTGTATTTGCACCTGTCCACCTGCTGAAATTCCCTTACCACTTGGATCAAGCATTACTTATTCTCAGAAGTCTCTCTCCTAGCTGTCCCTCGGCCTGGTGCCTCCACGTATGTGTGTGCATGCGTGCGTGTGTGAAGGTCTTGTTCTGTTGCCCAGGCTGGTTTCGAATTCCTGGCTTCAAGTGATCCTCCCACTTCAGCCTCCTGAGTAGCTGGGACTATGGGCACATGCCACCACACCCAGCTATTTTTTTTTTCAATTTATTTTTTATAGAGATGGGGGGTAGTCTCTCTATGTTCCCAGGCTGGTCTTGAACTTCTGGACTCAAGAGATCCTCCCACCTCAGCCTCCCAAAGTGCTGGGATTACAGGCATGAACCGCTACACCTAGCCAACTTCCTAGTTTTAAATGAAAAGAAAAAAACACTCACACACCAGGGACCTGTTTCCCATCTCTCCTGCCCATCCCTTCACCCTCCACACTAGCTCAGGCAGCAATGGTGGTAGCTAGGCCAGGAGGGAAAGGCTGGAGGAAGACAATGCTGACTCTCTCTTACTGAATCTGAGTTTCCGAGACACAGAAACATCCTGTTCACAGAGGCCTCCCTTCTCTTCCCCTGAAAAAGCCCAGCCCTTGTTCTTGGAGCTGAACCAGCACAGGCCTCAGATTTCCACAACATCCACAGCTCTAACCCCTCCTGGACCACCTTTGTGACCTTAGGCTAAGGAAAGAAAGAAGCTGGCCATAAACACCCCTGGCTAAGAAACCAAGGCTCCTCCCAAGACAGGAGACCCTGAGGAGACCCTCTGGTCCCCTCTCCATGAAGCCAAGCTGGTGCCAAGAGGACAGAAACGAGGAAGGCTCACAGAACACAGATTTCAGGGCTAATGATCCCAAATTGTACAGACGCAGGGCAGCAAAGTCATAAGATCTAAAGACAGACACACAGGGCCAGGCACGGCGGCTCACACCTGTAATCCCACCACTTTGGGAGGCCGAGGTCAGTGATCACCTGAGGTCGGGAGTTTGAGACCAGCCTGAGCAACATAGTGCAGCCTCGCCTCTACTAAAAGACAAAAATAAAACTTATCTGTGTGGTGTGCCGTGCACCTGGAGTCCTAGCTACTTGGGAGGCTGAGGTGGGAGGATCCCTTGAACCCAGAGGTTCGAGGTGACAGTAAGGTATGACTGCACCACTGCACTCCAGCCTGGTGACAGATCAAGACTCCATATCAAAATAATAATAATAGTGCAAAAAAACAACAGAGATTTGGGAAACTACGGACGATGACTGTAGGGCATGGTCAGCAAGAAGTAGAGAAAACCAGGGCTCACAAAAGTGTGTGACAGAAGCGTGTCTGACACTGTCCAGGGGAAGGGCAACACGCTGGACACAGAGATGTCAGGTGGACTGGGCACAGGCTGGCTGGGTCCCCATCCATTGACTCTCTAGAACATCTTCTGGGCCCTCGTTTCCTTCTCTAGCCACCTGGCAGGGAAGTGGAGCCTGCTGAATGGGGAACCCACATGTTCAGTTACCAGAACCGGGGGGACTGCCCCTCAGGAATTAACACACAACCAGAGCTGAAGACTGATCCCAACAGCTCTGGACGTCCTGATAAAACATGTATCTAGAACGTGAATGGCTCTGAAGCATCCTTACTCCAATCACCAATCCAGAACCTAGGGAGCCAAACAAAGTCTGGGTTTTCACCCAAACACTCAGCTGAGGACATGGAAGAATAAAGTATGTGTGAAAGGAAGGAAGAATCTGGCCTGGGGCATCTGTAGCAAGAAGCAGGACATCTAAGACCAAGCAGTGCTGAGTCAGGCCTCTGGGGTGGGATGAAACGGTGTGAGAGAGAGGGGCCCAGGAAAGGGTCTTGCTTAGGTTGACGTGTCCTGTAACGATCAGCCAAGGTTTGGATGGAGACTAACAAGGCTTAAGACTTCCAGGTCTGGGTTGTTTTGTTTTTTTAAGAGACAGGGTCTTGCTACGTGGCCCAGGCTGGACTTGAAATCCTACACTCAAGCGATCCCCCAACCTCGGCCTCATGAGTAGCCAGGATTACAAACACACACCATCACGCTAGTGTCTAATTTTCCGTAGGCATGGGTGGGGTCTCACTATGTTGCCCAGGCTGGTCTCAAACTCCTGGGCTCAAGTGATCTGCCTGCCTCTACCTCCCAAAGCACTGGGATGACAGGCAGAGGCCACGGTGCCTAGCCAGGTATTTTTATTTTTTTGAGACCACTCTTGTGGCCCAGGGTGGAGTGCAATGGTGCGATCTTGGCTCACTGCAACCTCCGCCTCCCAGGTTGAAGGGATTCTACTATCTCAGCCTCCCGAGTGGCTGGAATTACAGGCGTGTGCCACCATGCCTGGCTAATTTTTTTATTTTTAGTAGAGACAGGGTTTCACCATATTGGCCAGGCTGGTCTCGAACTCCAGACCTCAGGTGATCTGCCTGCCTCGGCCTCCCAAAGTGCTGGGATTACAGACGTAAGCCACGGCTCCCGGCCATTTTATTTTATTTTTGAGACAGTCTCACTCTGTCGCCCAGGCTGGAGTGCAGTGGCGCGATCTTGGTTCACTGCAGCCTGTCTCCCAGGTTCGAGCGATTCTCGTGACTCAACCGCCATAGTAGCTGCAGCTACAAACATGCGCCACCATGTCCAGCCAATTTTTGTATTTTTAGTAGAAACGGGGTTTCGCCACATTGGCTAAGCTGGTCTCAAACTCCTGGCCTCAAATGATGCACCTATCTTGGTCTCCCAAAGTGGTAAAATTACAGGCATGGGCCACCACGCCCAGTCTACTTTTTTTTTTTTTTTTGAGACAGAATCTCACTCTGTTGCCAGCCTGGAGTGCAGTGGTGCAATCTCGGCTCACTGCAACCTCCACCTCCCGGGTTCAAGCAATTCTCCTGCCTCAACCTCCCGAGTAGCTGGGATTACAGACACACGCCACCACGCCCAGCTAATTTTTTGTATTTTTAGTAGAGACGGGGTTTCACCATGTTGGCCAGGCTGATCTCGATCTCTTGACCTCGTGATCTGCCCGCCTCGGCCTCCTGAAGTGCTGGGATTACAGGCATGAGCCACCGCGCCCAGCCTCAGTCTTTTATCCAGAGGGAGCTTGATAAATCCATGCTTGTTGACCGGCCAGGACCCTCCCAGGGGATCAGCTGGAGAAATGAAGGTTTGGAGGTGCAGCGGGAGGGTGCATGGACACAGCACAGTGACAAGGCCACGTCCGATTCCGTGGGCGTGACTGGGAAGCCACCACCCATATGCTCTTGCCGCTAAAGTCAAGGGTCCCTTCTGCACCACGTACTCGGAGATTTTCCAAATCCCAGGCATCTTCAGTCCTGCACTCCTGCCACTAAAACACCACGGCTTGCTCTTCCCAAGTGACGAGGCCAAGAAAAGAATCCATTTTATTTGTCAGAACTCGCCATAAGTAAACAAACACAAAGAAAGCACTCGCCAGCCAGTTAAACAGGAATGCAGGCTCCTGGCAGCGCATGACCCAGTTTTCCGTTCACTCCGAGTCAGTGAACCACCTCCGCCAGCTGGCCCCTGTGGCCTAAGGGGAAAAGAGAGAAAGGCTTTCCGCCGCCCTCCTCCTAAGAAACAAGCCGAATTCCACTTCACCCAGTTCCCGCTCAGTGGAAAAGAAGAATAACAGAGTGGAAGGGACGCGGGCTTCAGCATCACTGAAGCCTGAGTTTAAACCCTCCATCCCATTACAACCACCAGCCGTGAAGTTCAAAGCATGTACACTGTACCTCTCCAGGCCTCAGCTCCCTCAACAGGAAAACAGAGACGTTGGTGGCTGCCATGCAGATCAGGGTTCTGAAAGCGTGCCAGGCACAGCACGCGCTCAGCAAGCGTTTCCTTCTCCCCAACTTGGGTTCACACCATGGGGTGCGGGTTCGTACAGGGTACAGAGAGGGACAGAAGGCGGGTTTAGCAGCTTCTAACGAAATAAAAAGAAAACTCTGTATCTTACAGCAGGACCAAGTTCCACAGATTAGTATGTATGTATGTATGTATTTGAGACAGAGTTTCTCTCTTGTTACCCAGGCTGGAGTGCAATGGCGTGATCTCGGCTCACCACAACCTCCGCCTCCTGGGTTCAGGCAATTCTCCTGCCTCAGCCTCCTGAGTAGCTGGGATCACAGGCACGCGCCACCATGCCCAGCTAATTTTTTGTATTTTTAGTAGAGACGGGGTTTCACCATGTTGAGCAGGATGGTCTCGATCTCTTGATCTCGTGATCCACCCGCCTTGGCCTCCCAAAGTGCTGGGATTACAGGCTTGAGCCACCGCGCCCGGCCTAGTTTTAATTTATAATTTTTATTTCTTTGTTTGAGACAGGGTCTCGCTCTGCCTCTCAGGCAGGAGGGCAGCAGCGTGATCACACCTAACTGCAGCCTGGACCTGCTTGGCTCAAGTCATTCTCCCGCCTCAGCCTCCTGAGTAGCTGGGATTACAGGTGTGCACCACCATTCCTGGCTAATTTTTGCAATAATTTTGTAGAGATGGGGTCTCGCTGTGTTGCCCAGTCTGGCAAAGAAACCCTGGGCTCAGGTGATCTGCCCACCTTGGCCTCCCAAAGTCCTGGGATTGTGGGCATGAGCCACCACACCTGGCCTCAGAAAGGTATTTTGACTTCAAGGAAACAAGGGTGCTCTTAGGTCTTCAGACAACTGCAATTATCAATCACAGCAATCAATCAATCAATCAATAAATAAAAATACAGCTGCCGTGTGAGAGGACACTCTAGATGCCTTGGAACTTACACAAACATTGATGGAGGCCAGGTGTGGTGGCTCAGGCCTGGCCTCATCAAGGATTCATCAATAGAACGCTTGCTTCCAGTTAATGAGATTTATGAGGCAGTGAGGTCTTTGGGACTCATGCTAGAAAGTAATCCCAGCACTCTGGGAGGCCAGGGTGAGTGCATTGCCTGAGGTCGGGAGTTCAAGAACAGCCTGGCCAACATGGGGAAACCCTGCCTGCACTAAAAATACAAAAATGAGCTGAGCATGGTGGCAGGCACCTGTAATTGCAGCTACCCAGGAGGTTGAGGCAGTAGAATAGCTTGAACCTGGGAGGCGAAGGTTGCAGTGAGCCAAGAGCGCGCCACTGCACTCCTGCCTGGGCAACAGAGCGAGATTCTTTCTCTAAAAACCAGAAAGAAAGAGACACAGACAGATTAATTCTTGGACAGCAGAATGCAAGATGAGGCTGGACCCCCCAGGTTTCCAGTTGAAGGCTGTGGATATTTCAGAGCCCAGTGAAAATCAAGGCACTGCCGTTATTTCGCTCCACTCCTGCAACCTGCCACAGAACAGGGCCCCCACTCACAGAGCGCACACAGCCAGCGCACCATCTCACCCTCTAGGATGAAGAAAGATGCCCAAAACCCAAGATCCAAACTTAGGAAGAAACTGAATTCAAAACAACAGAAGTCCACACCTCCTGCACACAGGATCTTAATTAAACAGTGTGAAGCATGCCAGTGTGAGCTCAGTGTCTGCACCTATTCATAATGAAGTAAACTTGATTAAGATCAAATCCACCCTAAGAACAGAAAAACAACCAGCAACTCTCACGCACATCAAATGCTGTTCTCCATTATCCTTTCCCTCTGAACCTCACAGAGTACCAGCAGGTGGGAGGTAATTAAAGTTTGAATAAAACTCGCTTTATATGCGTCTGTTGGACACTTTGGTTCTGCAAAGCTTTTCCTCTCCAGCCCAAAAATGCACCCACAAAAAAAGAGTTTTTTTCAAAAGAACCTTTCTCTGTTTACATCTGGGGCTTTATGACTTCAGACAGATTAAGCGTGGAGGAGGTAATTTATGAAAAGAAATATTTCTCTTTATCCATATTTACATTCTATAAGGGAAGGAGACTGGCTTTTGGATTCTCCTCCCACGCCTGTCAGGGGAATACACTCTACTCCTGGCTGATGAGATTTATGGGGCAATGAGGTCTTTGGGACTGATGCTACACCACCTGCTTCACAAATACTGCCCCTCCATTTGCAAAGTGCTGCCTTAGGACATGCGGATTTTCCCCTTACAAATCTATCCATCTCTCCCTCCATCCATCCATCCCTTCCTCATCCATTCCTCCCTCCATCCATCCATCCATCCATCCATCCATCCATCCATCCATCCATGCATCCATCCATTTATCCATCCATCTATCCAACCACCTATTCATCCATCCATCCAACCATCCATCCCTCCATTCAACCATCTATCCATGCACCTATTCATCTATTCATCCATCAATTTATCCATCCATCTATCCATCCACTTGTTCATCCATCCATCCATTTATCCATCCATCTATCCATCCCTCCATCCATCCATCCAACCATCCATCCATCCATCTATTCATCCATCTATCCATCCACCTATTCATCTATCCAACCCTCCATCCATCCACCTATTCATCCATCCATTTATCCATCCATCTATTCATCCACCTATTCATCCATCCATCCATCTATCCCTCCATCTATCCATCCACCTATTCTCCATCCATCCCTCAATCCACCTATTCATCCATCCATTTATCCACCCACCTATTCATCCATCCATCCATCCATCCATTTATCCATACATCAATCCCTCCATCTATCCATCCACCTATTCATCCATCCCTCCATCCCTCCATCTCTCTCACTGTGCTTCCCAGGCTGTCTTGCAGTGGCATAATCACAGCTCACTGCAGCCTTGACTTCCTGAGCTCAAGCAATCCTCCTCAGCTTCCAGAGTAGCTGGGACCACAGCTGTGTACCACCATGCCCAGCTAATTTTTAAATTTTTTGTAGAAATGAGGTCACATTATATTGCTGAGGCTGGTCTTGAACTCCTGAGCTTAAGTGATCCTCCCACCTCAGCCTCCAGAGTGCTGGGGTTATGGGCATGAGCCACTGTGCCTGGCCTAAATCTCTCATTTTCCAAGCAGTCACCTTGTGGGTTTCCATCCCATTCACACACACTCAGCATCCATCTACATCTTTTCCAGTATAAAAAACGCTACCCCCCCACAAAAAAGAAAAATGCTACCCTTTTCTTCTTGGTTTTTCATTGATTGGGTCTTCCCAATCAATGAAAATACAGCTTTGGCATCACAAAAGCTAACCAGAGTACACTGAGGATTTCAACTTGTGAAGATGCTGTGTCTAAAAAAAGACAAGGGCAGCAGTCTTCCTTTTCAGAAAAGTGATCCGAGGCAGCGAGAGACTGTAATGCTTCAACATGGGACCTCCGCCCAAGCTGTGGGCTTTTGGTTCTCTCATAAACGCATTAGCCACCGCACTTAACAGGAGCATAACCTAAGCTAACCCCACCATGCACAACCTGACAATTCTAATCAGGGGCATTTTAACTGGACTCGGACGTTGGGGTTTGAATTTAAGAAGGTGAGAGTTTCGGGAACATGTGTAGGGATTACGGCTGGAATGCTGTCTCTGTCTCAGCTGACCCTCTCCTCAGGTCTTCCACACCCACCTGCTGCCTCTTCTGTCACTGCACAGCCAGGCCACTCCCACCTGAACAGCAGGTTCCGAGGTGACCTGCCCAGCACTGGTGCCTCACCAGCTCCATCCCCACCTGGAAGGCACTCACAGCTGCGCCTGGCCAACATCTGTGTAGCAGGGTGTCACAGTCTCAGCACCGCTGACGCTTTGTTGCGGGTGCAGTGAGGGCTGTTCTGCACACTGAAGAATGTTCATCAGTGTCCCAGGACATGCCAGGAATCCCTACTCAGTAACCATGGAAAATGGCGCCAGAAGCCCTGGAGACTTTGAGAGCAGCGAAGCGACTCTTTCTGACCCTGTTATGGGGGTGCACGTCGCTCATTATGCATTTGTCAAAACCAGCAGAATGTCCAACACAGTGACCCTGAGGTGAGCTGTGAATTTCGTTTCATCAGCATGTATCCTCATCAGCTCCTCAGCTGTAATCCCCATAGCACATGAATGCAAGATGGTAATGACAGCAGGAATCACTGGAGGGCAAGGCAGGGGCACACGGGAACTCGGCACTTTCTGCTCAATTTTCCTGAAAACCTAAGACTCTTCTATGAAACACAGTCTATCAATTAAAGATTAAAGGTCTCCAGACATTTGCCTAGGTTCCTAAAGGCACAGGCAAAACTGTTCCGCTTGTCTGAATGCAGAGGGAAGGAACCTGCCCACACAGGCCACGTCCCTCACAGGGCAAAGCTCTCCTTACTTTCAGAGTCAGTCAGGACAGTTTCCTGAGGTGTTTCTGGAGGGAGGGTGGAAAAGGTGAGCTTCCTGCACAGCGTGGGTTGCAGAAAGTCCTCTAGGGGAGGCAGCATGGAACTCAGTCTCAGGAAACCCCAGGCAGAGGCTGGACAGACAGACCTACCCCTCCCGTCCCGGCTTAAAGGCAGCACTGTGGTCACTGTGTTCAGTCTGGTAAGAATGCCCTCCTTGGTTTTCATGTCTTCAAAGCTCAGTAGCCTGAGATCGGATGTAGAAGAAAGGCTTAGCCTTCGAAGAAGCCAGAGGAGGCATCTGAACGTCCCAATCCGGGGGTCCTGCCAGGGCTGCTTTTGCAGCTCTGCCGCTGGTGTCTGCTGAGACTTGTGGGGACACGACTGAAGCGCCCCAGGAATACGGGTGGCCCCAAGCTCTGCACATACCGTAGGCTGCTAAAATACCTGCTTCCATCTGAATGCGTCATTGAGATGTGACTGCGTCAGGCTGAACTTCACGTGGCTTTAGTCA